AAATATTCACAAATTGTAAAATAATATGTTAGGTAATAGGATTTTTTTTTTTGACGCCAATAATTTATAACTATCAAAAACTAAAAATTGGTACTAAAAGTACCCACGAATAATATTTTTAAATTACAACAAATACCTAAAATCGTTGTTCTTGGTTACTTATAATATATAATTTCGTCAAAATATAAACTTAACATACATAACTATAAAAAAAAACTGTGTTTATAGGTGTTTTAGATTTTTTGTTTAGAGAATAACCTATACTTACGTGGAACCTTGTTTTAAATTTGCAATCCTTAGCTATACAATTTGAATATTTTATACATTTTTAACTACAAAACATTTTTTAATTTTAAATTTCATAAATGTTGTCAGAAATAGAACTTTAAATTCTAATAAAATAAATATATATAGTGCAACATTTCAAGTATCTACTGTTATTCATTTTTTAATTACTGCCAAATAAGATAATCACCACACGAGAAACCGTGAGAATATCCAATGTGGTAAAAATTTAAACTTCAAAAGCTCATAAAATTTTAATTTAACTTTCCAGTAGATATTTTTTTTTGATAAAGATAGACATACTAAACCTCATCTTATATTAAATTTTAAAATCTTAGATTTAAAAACAAAAATTTTTATGAATGACAAACTCAAAATAATTTGCACAACTTCGTGATTTTTACGTATTATGTCAAATTAAATAATATTATTATAAGAAATAATTGTTACTATGTATTTTTAATATTTTTAAACTGCATTGTAACAATTATAAATGATATATTAGGGACCTTGTACCTATTAAATTGTCAAGATTTTTGACCCAACGAACAAAATTATTTTGACATTTATAGAATAAAAAATTAACAAAATTGGTAACTGAAAATGTCCTTAAACAGCTCAATACAAATCAAAATATTTTATAAGTTTTATGGTGTATATCAATTGCTAATATAATTATTCGGTGGACATTTAATGAATCTACATTGGATATTATCATTTGTTTTAGTTACAACAAAAACTAAAAAATTGCTTAAAAATTCCCTTTTTTTAAAAAGGTTTTTTTGTTTTTCTCTTTGCTCTTAAGAGGTGATACCCGCATGTGTGGTCTCCGTCTTACAAATGTACAACATAGCCAAAGACTATTTTGGGTGGGATAGCATAACCAAAATTCCACAACGCATAGGGAACAACTTCATCTGTGTCGTAGCGTTTTTATTATATTATGAATATCATAAATAAAATTAAAGTTATCAGCTTGAGAACATTAGAATTTTTTTTGTTTCTTTCGTTTAATTATTAAGAATTATTGGTAAATACTATAAAACAAATAAAAACGCTACGACACAAATAAAGTTGTTTCCTATGCGTTGTAGAATTTTGGTAATTCTACTATAAATACCAAGGGAGTGGTTTTATCCCACGAAAAACAGTATTTTAGTATGTTGTACATTTGTAAGACGGAGACAACGCATACGGGTATTACGTCCTTTTAAAAACTACTAGGAATTTTAAATTTTTACTTCCCAAATTGTTGAAGAAAATCGTAGCAGTTTTACTGCGGCAAACGGCGATGACAGACACAACAAAAAAAACACACTCATCGTTGTAAAATCAATACATCTTTCCTCTCAGAATCTAAAATGTATATATGTCCATTTTTAGTCATTATATTATTGTCTATAGGTATCTCACACATACAGGTGATACCAAATTCATTAAAATGTCTAATCAAAAAGAGAGGCTACTAATATATTGTGAATACAATGTTCAACCTATATATAGCATATAAATTCCAAGGGGAAGGACAAAATAATATTAGTTTTATATTTATTTATTATTTGTATTATTACATCATTAGTACGATTCCTATATAGCCATATAGGTACTATTATATGGATCTGATTGCTTAAGGTGGAGCTAAATGCTAAGCCCACACACCTTAAAATGTAAATTAACGACATCATTATTCAGTACCTATAATAACCTAAATAAAACGTTCACTTTTATTTAGCTCATTTGAATAGGCTCGCTAAAAACGCCTAGAAGATTTTATTTTGAAATTCTTAACATTATTCTTTATCCGTATTTTATGGCATAAATAGCATAATTCATTTCCTAGTAAATCATTTGAATTTGATAGAATAGGAGAACTTCCTATAAATGTCAGTATGTAAAGGCATCGGTTTTAAATTTAATCATGCAATGTTGTACATTTTATATAATTATATATTATGTTTAATTTATATACTTAGTTTGAGAAATCTTTGATATGAGTTTAGTTATGAACATTTACAATGCTAATTAATAATATTTATAAAAAAAATATATAGCTAGGTACCAGGTACCTATATTTTATGATAATACTTAGGTACCTACCAATAGTGAATTATAATTAAAATTTTAATGGAATTTGTAGTTTCAAGTACCTAGCTTAGTAGCTTATATATATAAGGTAAGATATAATTAGACTTAATATTAAAAAAAAAAAATAGGTGTACCTATTCTAATATTTTAGAATATTTAAATACAAAATAAATCAATATTTTTTTTTTTTAATTATTATTTACAACATGTATAGAAATTTCGACGAACTTATTAATTTAACAATAATAATGACAGTTAACGTACCTATACCTAAATTATATTTAGAAAACATTAACGTTTTTGTTTTTGAGACTTTATTTTAGTAAATAAACACTTAAGGGGCAATTTTTTGTAAAATAATAGATATTTTTTAATAAAGTATATTTTAATGTATTAAAAAAGTTATTACCTACACCAACTAACATTATACATTTATTAGGTCTTATTAAAGTAATTTTTAATTTGTGGAATCCTCATAGCTTCAAATTTAAAAATAAGTTTAAGACACCAATGTTTATCGAGGAATGAGTATAGTACCTATATAGACAAGAGCAAAAAATATCTGCAGTATCAATTCCTCATTTAAAATGATTATGTTTCTAAACATTTGTATTGTTTTACAATTTATTGCAACTGTTGTGAATTGTTTTCATATTTAATATGATAATATAAATTATAATAACACAAATTAAAATCTTAATAAGGGTGTGTATACCTAATTTACGTACGATATTATAATGACCTATACACAACTGCCTACCACAGGCACCATATTATGATAAACGCGTATAATACAATTTATATTTTAATAATTTTCAATGATCATGCCTTTTTTTCTCATAATCTATTATTGTTGCAGTTTTTTTATAAGTGAAATGTTTCTTTTATTTAAACATATTATTAACAATCAAACTACAATTTAATCATCAGCTGTAGGTATACCTACTAGCAATCAATAAACGCGTCAATACGTGTATTTGTATATTAACGCTAACCATAATGCAACAATTCAATTACACGCTGTTAAGCGATGCCATTGAATTCAAAAAAAGAAAATTATTGTCGATTTCAAAACAGCCGTTTATATTAGTCTCGAATGGAACAACTTATTCAGTTCAAACAGTTGTAATATTTCATTCGAACGATCACAATGGAGAATTCGTATACATTATCATGCGCAAACGACGCAAAACTTAACTATAAGTCGTCGTGGAAAACGATAAATAGCTTAATACTCGCACGCCAGCCTTCCCATTCGTACGTGACTGGAATTACGAGAACTATGTTTGTTTTTCGGCAGACCGTGCGGACTCTGATTAGATCAGATCCGCCGCTTATTACCCGTAGTCCCTGCAGGGTATATTAGAGCTTGATGTTCGCCAACAAGGCACAAATACACTTATTTACTCAACATATAGTTTCGTAAAGTAAAAAAACAGAACGTAAGCCTCAAAAGTGGGTAGGTATCCAATAACGGAACAACATTCGTCTTTTAAAACATAATATAATAATAAACCGACCATTACGACGCAATAAAAGAAAATTTTATTGAAAATCAACATAGTACATTATATTATACTATAATATTATAATACTATAATATTAGTGCCAGTAACCTAACTATTATATTGTATAGGTACCTACAAGTATACAATACCGTTTAAGCGGATCAATAAAAGTTTATTTATAATATTACGTAGGTACACGATGTAACAATATTTTTAATCAGTAATCATTTATGCGTTTAAATGCATTAAAATTAAAATGCGGAATAAAGTGGCAATACAACGGAAAATCATAAAAAAAAATGTGTAAATTAAAAAGATAAATGTGTATTTTAATTGTAATATAGGAGTGATCACAGTACATATAAAAGGTACACGCCAGTAATTTATTATAATCCAAATCGGTTTAATACCTCGTATTAAATTTAATGTCTATTAATTAATAACAATAATTATCTATTGAAATAATATATTGTGTAAGTGTATAGACTGTATAGGTTTAACACCGACGTATGATATTTGGATATATTGTGATTATTTCTTAAAGCTTGTATAAAAACATCCTAAAAACGAGAGCTGCAGTGTTATTCGTAATTCGGTTACTCATATTTTTGGCTACTCGAATATTGTTTGTTAGATTTATAAGCGTGACAAAAAAAAAAAGAAAAAACATATAAATAATGCGATATAAAATCACATCGTTCTCGTGAACAGAAATGAATAAGCCAAATAATACGACCAGTGCGTTTGGTAAAGATACTAACAAGTTGTTAAAAGCCCGTAACCCCGCATATATGCCAACTACTAAAGAATAAGAGATAGAGGCGTGGCCCTCTATACAAAACGGCAACCAATAAGGTCGTTCCGTTCGCTTCCCTTTTCTCACCCCATGTACTGGTAGCTGTATCGCCAACCCTCGTCCCCCTGTTAAGTAGCCGAATGGTTTTTACAATCGTTCTCTGTATGATCAACTCCATCTCGTAACAGTCGACCACATGTGCGCCGTAGAAACACATCAATTGATGCTGCAGCATAGTGTTGTTTCGCATAAAACCAATCAAATTAATTAATTATATTAATTATTTATATAATATTATAGTAACTGAAAACGCGAAACATTCAATTATGTCACGGTCGGACATCGAAGAAGATTCGTGTCCCAGAGTACGGTATTCGGCGAGCCCATTAGATTTGAAACAGAAACCCATAAGTGACTCGCCATCAAAGTCGAAGAAAACTTCGTTTTGTATAGAAGCGTTGCTAGGCCACCGTGAAGTTTCACGCAAGACGTCATTGACCGCGTCATCGGACTGTTCATCTACTCCTTGTTCAAGCCGTAGTGCTTCAATATCTCCTGGGCCGGAACAACAATTCGGATACGAAGGTAAACACAGCGACGAGAACGATGGAATTTCGACCACAGCAATGCGATCATTGACTTACAATTCCAACTACTTGAAGTCAGACTTCCCAATCACTTCCTCTGCTACCGACCTTTTAACCCGAGACCATAGACGGAATGGTGGTTTTGGATTTATTCACGGATCTTCAGCATTTCAGCCATTGCCCCGTATAGATACGAACACCAATAATTCTCCAAGCTCAACTATCGCAACAGTTTCGGCCACTACTGCGAATCCCAATCGCTCAAATGTATCTGCCGGCCAATTACAACAGATGCAACTAGAGTGGTTTGCTAGAGCAGGAATGTTTTACGCTGGACCTAGATTACACGATTTAACAGGTAAAATATATTTTTAAGTTATGTTTTACTCTATAACGAAAAATACAATTTTTACGTTAAATAAGTTCAACGACTAAAATGATACTGAAACTATTGAAATGTATTATTATTTTTAAGTGGAATAAAAATTAAATTAAATAAATAATAATAATAATAAATTTAAATAATATTTAAAATAGGTATGTCAAAAATAGAGAATTTATTATTTGAAATATTTAACAATATAGCGCCATTCTAAAAAATGTCTAAAACATCTAAAAAATCTTTTAAAGGTTAGGTTCTCTACTATTTAATATCGATTTATTTGTAATTATGTCTATATTTTGTAAAGGATTAATTGAAAAATGTAGTTATTTATACAATCATTTATGTTTTAATATAATATTATACATCATTGTTTTAGTTATATTTAACATAACTACATTAATATAGGTAGACATACTTTTTCCAACTCCGTGGAAGGTGGAACTTTAATGTCTAATCTACCAATAGAATAATACCAAAGTTAGCTATTATCGTTATTTTAGTAAATTTATTTTTCTTAGCTCAAATAAAAAAGGATTAAGTTTAAGGTTTTTCATAATATTGTTTAATACATATCTCTAAATAATTGTTAATAGTCTTACTATTACCTACAATTTTATCATTAATAATGGTAATAAAGTTTTAGAACAAAACTTCCCGTTAATAAAAATAATATATTTTACTTTGAGTTTATAAATATTGAATTATCTCATAAAAGTAAGTAACTACTTGGAAAAAAAATGTACCTATTATTAAAAAATATAATCTAAATTAACTTATTATTATGTTTCATCTTATAATATTTTACGTTTTTAAATATCAATACACAGGGCTTAAAGTGGAAAAAAATCCCAGGGGGGACTAACGTCTCCATATAGTTTTAAGCGTTCCATAATATATCGTTTTATGTATAATGTCTAATGCATAATATACATACAGTCATAGTGGGTACATGTAATTTATAAACAATGATTGTGTAACATATACTCATCCCACATTGAATCATGAATAATGGTCAAATTTTTAATTTATTTTATGAATAATACTACATTTCGCGGTCAACCAATCACACCCTCCAACCTTGTAGTGTCCAGTCCTGTATATCAAGGCTGGGCAAGTTAACTATTTTTTTTAACTCATTAAGTTAAGTTAATATAGAAAAATGTAAGTTAAGTTTAAAGTTAAAAGTTAACTTCATTTTTTTTAGTTAATTAGAAAATAAAAGTAATTTAACTTAGTTAAAAATAAGTTACTTTTTTTTAAAAATAAAATTAACAATTATACCTACCTACCTTTTTTAAAGCTAACAAATAACATAATAATTCAATAAATCAAAAAATGTCTTACAATATTTGAATAAATGTTTGTAATAAAATTAGTTACTGTAGGTACTTATATTAATTTTGTGTATTATACTTTAATTAGGTAAATAGTAAATACCACGCTACTTCGGGTATTATTTACATCGACGGGCCAAGTTATCACCGTAATTCTATGGATGAATAAAAATATAATTAAGTAATGACATTAATAATGATTAGGTATAGGTTAGGTGATATGTCGTGTATGGGATAGGTACTGAGTAAATTGTTATATTTTTCTTTGACGCGGTTACCCCTATGATATTTCCCTCTATAATATAGTTATAAAATATTCTCTGTGAATATGCAATATAAAAACTTACTATTATTATAAATTATTATTTAATAAAATATATTTAATATTTCGGGGTTTTTTTTTATGTAATTAATTTTACAAAATTGAATTAATTTTAAATAATATGTGGTTTGGGAAAAACATTAACTTATAATAAAATTAATTAACTCGTTAAGTTACTGAATAAACGGCCCGTTTCACATGGACGCGTATCATACGCGACGTATCGTACGCGCGCGTTTTAATTTAGGTACATTGGTCAAATTCATACGCGCCACTCCGACGATGGCGCGTTTCCCTCGCCGGTTTGGCGCGTATGAACTTAATCAATGTAAATGGAAAACGCGCGCGTACGATACGTCGCGTATGATACGCGTTCATGTGAAACGGGCCTAACATGGGGAAAAATGTAAATCGTTAAGCTAGAAGTTACTTCTAAAAAAAAAAGTAACTCGTTAATGCCCAGCCTTGCTGTATATCATAATCCATTCATGGTAATCACGGTTTTAATCTCAACGGAATTCTGAATTATATTGAATATTGATATAATTGGTTATAATTGGAGCGTTCCGACGTACTTTAAGAATGATTTTTTAAAAAGGACGCTTTTTAACCACCATTAGAGGTAGGGGGACTGAGTCCCCTTGCGTCCCCCCCCACTTTAACCCCTGTCAATACAATACTTTTATGAACAATCTATAATAGTTGTCATCAAATAAAATTCATTGAAAATACTAAATATTCCTGATATAGTGAAACTCATCGTTTTTTAAATCTAAATTTGATTCATCTATGTAATTTGAAGTTGTAGACACTTGATCCAAAATAATACGAAACTTTCCATCTTAATGTGTATGGACAAAATTAAACGAGTTAAATTAAGTTAATTTGTCACAGAAAGAGGAAAATTATTTACTTTATTTACCTATTTATCTGCAATATCGAATAATTCAAACACACTTGTTTTTATATTTATTTTTATTAATATATGAAATACTTTTGCTCAACAACTTTTGGCTATAAAAGCTAACAAAATTAATAATTAGTGTGAAAGACTGAACTTTCGTTGAATTTATAAAAATATATGCTAACTTTAAGCTGAATAGCTATACAAATAGTGAAATACCTACATAAAAATTGACTAGATATATATTATACCTACTATGCAATTATGAAAATCGCTATAAGCTGGTAATAATATTTAGATTATCCATACAATTAGTATGTTTTGTTTTAAATCCAAAATCGTAGATATACAAGTATTATGGACCTACTTAGGTCAATGCGTATTATCTGTATTGATGGTTTTTCTGTTTATATAACAAGTATTGAATTCAATCGGACAATTCTTAACACGTATTGCATCACATTTTAATAATTTACCATATCGATGGACGATGGTTTTAATCGAATTGTCTATTTTTAATAAATTAACAATTAATTATAATAGCAGACTAATATAAAATTTGAACTTATCTGAATTTATCTGTAAGATGAGTACCTAACCTACATGACTAATTTATGTATTTGTCATCCATCCATATATTATCAATTTCAAAGTGGTTTTCTCATCGGTTAGGTTTAGGATATGGATTCTATGATATTTTATCTGACAAATGAATTGTTTACGAATTGCAAAAGTATAAACTGTATAATTTTAATTGGGTAACGTCAGATACAAAAATACCAACTCACGATAAGTGAATACCGGTAATTAAATGGCTATCTGGTATTAAAAATGAACATTATATTTAACCTATACATAATATACCTGTTTGTATACAAACGAATCAAAAAATAACAAAAATAAATTGTGTCTAAAAAATGTATTATAGGTAAGTAGGTAACCGCTAGACGTGTATATAGGCAATCGACTTGGAATGCACATTAACTGAAATGAGTCGGTATCAATTCGGGAGTGTGTGAACTCTGAATATACAAGTATGCTTCAGCTATTTCATTCCTAAGGAATGATTCCTTCAAATCCCTTGTTCAAACATCTTATTCGTGCTCCGCTTTTATTTATTTATGTATTATTTCAGTCAACGTCAAGCGAACGTGTAAACAAACGCATTCCTCGGGTTTTTTTTCATGAAGTTCTTTACAGTGTAAACGATACGACAAAATACGAACCTGATAGTGATATTTTGCAAAACGATGATTGTATTGATTCCGCCGATTTTCTAGTCGTATTCTGTAGGCATTGTAGTTGGAGAACGGGCAACGCCAACCGGCGGTCAACGGCTCGACTTTACCCGCCTTTACTCGATTTCAGATTGGAACTAACTTAGTATATATAGGTATAATCGATTAATGTGAGTGTATTACCTATGTGTATTAGTTTTTTAAGTTCACAATCAATTGCACATATATACACGAGTGCAATATATTAGACCAGAAGCCTGACAGTTATTTGTATAGGTATGAATTTATTTTTACATTTTTGCTTTGAGCCGTAAGTCTATATTTTGAGTTTTAAACTAATTACTGCCCTCGATACACCACGGTCGCTTTGATTTGACTGTTTAGTTAGGTAATGGCTAATGTGTAGGTATAGGTAAATACATATGTTTGTGGTTCTGTGCTGTTATAAGTTATTACCTTTCAAGATTGATCGAAAGTTTGATTGGTTTGTAATTCGCACAGCTCATCTCCAGTACCTACCTAGGTATTGATTACAACATGACATCAGCAATTGAAAAACTTTTCTGCAAACTCAATGTGACGTCGGCTCCATTTAATACAACAATTAACTTTTTTTTGGTACAATAAACTGGTATACGACTTAGAGTAAACGAAAGAGTGTACGCAAATTCACAAATAAATCATTATTATGTTATGGAATGATAACAATACAGAGAATAGGTTTTGATGTGTATTGTGCGTTTATTTATTGATTTTGTATATAATATGATATGCTTCAATACAATTGCTGTTGTTAATGGACTTCAAAAGTATAAAACAGTGTGCTTTTGTATGAATCCTATATCTAAACATATATACGTACAAAACTAGCATTACCTACATGGCTACATGTTTTACGGTGATAAAGAAAAAATGAAATATAAAATATATGATAATATTGTCCATTTATTTTCAATAACACACTATATTTTGGAGAGCCTATACTCATTTTATTGTTTTATATATCTTGCTATATAGAGTATAGAGCGTAAGTGTTAGGGAACGAAAGTTTCTGGTTTGTTTTTATGTCACTTAATAACTTTTTGTTAATTCAACCAATGACTTTATAAGTATTAAAAGTCCAAAGTGTGTAAATTATCAGTAGGCCTACTAAAAATTACTATATACTTGGCACA